TTTTTAAAAAATTCCAAGGATTGCTTTGAGGGAAAAAAAATACATTGAATTAATTTGTGCTCTTACTTCAGGAATGAATTAGGACCAATGGGCAAAAGAGAGAGGAATATAAAGATTTAATGCAGTAAATGGAAAGACTTTCTAACAATTATTGTTATTCAGTAATTGAACAGGGTGTATCATGAAGTAGTGAGTGGCCCATAGTTGGAAGGCTTCAAGCAGGAGGAGAGTGACCATCTACCAGAAATGTTATAGAAGTGACTGCTACATTGGGTGGGAGTTTGTGCTAAACTGCCTCTTAGATTCCTTTCCAAGTCTATGATTCTAAATTATTGAGGAGAGCATAAATAAAAGATCCAAACCCATTCAAGAACTAAATTATTCAACAAAAGGTAATAGAACTTTCAGCTATGAAGTTGAATCAACCAGACTTTGGGTGGCAGCAATCCTATTTTATAAAGAAAATAGATATCAGATCTATTAAAACAATTTGTTTTTAAATTATAACATTACAATTAATTTTCAAAGGAAACACATTGCCTGGAATCATGTTGTTCAAGAAATCCTTTTAAACATTTGTCTTCCAAATTTGATCTACATGTTCATACAATTTCACATGTGTAAGATATAATCCCTAAAGTGAGCAAAGCTGTCATATATTACTTTTTCCTGCCTAGACCCAAGAAACAGGATAAATAAGTAGCTCTGCTGCTTTCATTCTGTACCTTCTACTTAACATTATCTTAAAAATGATTATCATGTTAATTCAAAATTAAGATCTGGAAAACTATTCCCCCTGATTAACTGAAATTTTGTACCTTTTAACCAATCTTCCCCCATATCCCAACCCACACCTTTTTGAATTACTTCCTAGGTCTGAGGTTAGTGAGCCAAAGGGCATGGATGTCTTTATAGTGCAGAATAATGTCCTGCCAAAAGAATGTTATCAATTTGCAGAACTACTAGCGATGGCTGAGTTTAACTGTTTCCCTATTGTACACAGTAGGGTTTATTCAACATTTTAAAAATTGCTATAATTGTTTACATTTCCATTTTTAACTACTAGTGAGTTTGAATAGCCTTTTCAATGCTTTATTTTTTAATGACTAAAACTCTTAATCTACATTCTTACTGTAAGGAGAGAACTCAGAAGTGCATCAAATGCAAAGAAGTCACACTGAGAAGAAATAAAACAGGGGATGAAAGTTAATTCTAGAATGATGGGGAAATTTCTCCTTCTCCCAATCAGAATTCTCTGGAAAAGCTGTAGAACCAATGTTCCTTGGTTTAGCATCTCCCTGACACTGAACAAACCCTAAAGGAGGTGGGGTTTCTTCAATAAGTATCTTTGCTTTTAAATTCACATATATTGCACAGAAAACGTGTCAGTTTTCTGTCACTATGATAAAATACCTGAGATAGACAACTTGTAAAGAGAATAGTGGTTTTTTTTGTTGTTGTTATTGTTATTGTTCATTTGTTTTTCAGTTTGGTTCTTTCTATTGTTTTTGGACCTGCAGTGAGGCAGAACACAATGGCAGGAGTACATGGTAGAGCACAGCTGTGTACCTCATGGCAGCCAAGAAGCAGAGAGAAAAAAGAAGGGCCATGATCCCCAAATCCCCTTTAATGGCATGCCCTCATTACCTAACTTTCTTCTACCAGGCCACTAGGTTCTGAACACCACCCCTCCGAACACCACAGTCTGGCAACCAAATCTTAAACACACAGGTCTTTAAGGGACACCACAAATCCAAACTTTAAAGTACAATAGAGATTACTGAAATTTTGGTTAAGATTTCAAACATTTCAAAAATAATTCCCTTTTCTAAAGGTTCTGCTAAATAGGAAAATTATATGAGAAGCAAAAAGTTAGGAAACTTATAATAAAATAACATCCTAGTATACTAAAAGTCCAACTGAAAAAAAAACAAAGTTTGGGTTGAGATAATTGTCCTTTTCCTAAGATTATATATTATTGGGTGAATATAGTTCACTCTGATCTGTTCATTTTTCCCTCTGGAAAGAGATACAAATGAAGTAATAGTAGGAGAATATTAAAAATAAGATTCAAACATAAAAGTGAGGAATTAAAAGTTCTTGCTCTCACAGCAACTGCCACAAAGCCACATGTATATGAGACAGGCTTGTCCTTAGACATGAATCCTTTTGCTTGCAACTTATTAATTCCTGAGCAGAGGTAAATACAAAATAAAATCAAAACTGAACAACATACAATATGAAACCAACATGCTATAGTTGCCTAGGTAATAGCAATCTTGAACTTCACATGGAAACTGGCTGATAGCTTTGTATATGTTATTCACCTCACAGAGCCAGCAAAAATGTTCCACTCCTCTCACAAGATGTGCTCGAAGGTGTAAGATCTGGAATGTAATGTGAATAATGTTTTTTGTTTAAAATGCTATTATTAGAGTTGTTTTCTAGATCTCCAGGAAAAAAAAAATTCTGGGAACAAAAGAATGCCTGTTCCAAAAGAAACATAACCTAGACATGAGCCTAGTGCCTAGTAATGTTCAATAAACACCTGCTGAAACGTTGAATGAACACATTTGTCAATCAATCAAGAAGTCTGAATTGACAAAACACCAGGTAGTATATTCTACATGACTTTTGTCAAATTCTTCCCCTACTCTAAAAGCTAAGCAGCGGATTGTACCCCGGGCCTTGTGCATGCAAGGCAAGCACTCTACCAACTGAGCTATATTCCCAACCCTGTATTGATCTTTAAACTTGCCTGTCTCTATATATTCTGTGACTTCTGAGTCCCCCATGTATAACTTTGTTCGTTCTTCAGAAGACATACCTTTTGACTTACCAATTTTATTAGCTAGATTTTTGTTGCTATGCCAAATAACTAAGAGAAACAACTTAAAGGAGTAAATATTTACTTTTACTCAGTTTCAGAGGTTTCAGTCAATGGTCAGCCAGCTCCATTGCTTTGGCCTGAGGTAACATTACAGAAGGGCATGGCAGAAGAAAGCTACTCACTTCAGGATAGCTGGAAGACGGAAGCGGGGAGAGCAAGAAGAACAGGCTAGGGATAAAAGATGCCCTTCCCGGGCATACCTCCAGTGATCTACTTCCTCCAACTAGGCCTTACCACCTAAAGTTTCTACCATCTCCCACTAATGTCATCAAATAATTAATCCATAAATGGATTAATGAAGTAAGAGCCTTCATGATCCAATCACTTCCCAAAAGTTTCATCTCTGAACATTACTGTGTTGGGGATCAAGCCTTCAACACATGAACCTTTGGGTAACACTCTGGTTCCAAACCATAAGACCAAGTTAAGGGATATAAGCAAAAGAGAGAGAGCTTCAAAGTGTGCCTTAAGTTCACAGGGTTGACAGTAAAGGGTTGATGTTCTTTGCATCAATATGTGTGTGTGTGTGTGTGTGTGTGTATATATATATATATATATATATCTTCTCAAAGTTTTATTTTTTAAAAATAAGGTCACTTTTTAATAAGAGACAATAGTAAACCTAAAATTTAAAAAATAAAAATGTTGCTATTAGAGGAAAGGTATGAGGCCTATCAGGGATGTTTCTGAGTTCTCTTGGTGACATTTGTTTTTGTTTTATTTATATATATATATATATATATATATAAAATAATTATAAATAATTTAACTATAGAAATTAAATATATATTTATATATAATATATATGTATTATATATATTTATATTATATTAAATACCATCCTCCAGGGTTTTAAAGGCTTTTAATAAAGAAATTAATCTAGACTCATTTTCTTTCTAATTTGTGATATCCAAAAGCATACACTCTAGGCCAGCAAAAATGTTCCACTCCTCTCACAAGATGTGCTCGAAGGTAAGATCTTGAATGTAATGTGAATAATGTTTTTTGTTTAAAATGCTATTATTAGAGTTGTTTTCTAGATCTCCAGGAAAAAAACAAAATTTCTGGGAACAAAAGAATGCCTGTTCCAAAAGAAACATAACCTAGATATGAGCCTAGTGCCTAGTAATGTTCAATAAATACCTGCTGAAACGTTGAATGAACACATTTGTATGTGTAATGAAAACTAAGAGGATTTGTGACAGAGATTAGGTGTGAGAAACTATGCACAAGAGATCATGTGTGTATGAACCATGTGTTAGTTGTGTGTATGAGAGAAAGTCTGAGGGAATCACTACCAAAAATAGAAAACAGGTCTAACAGATACATGCAAAAAACTGGCATTTATTTAAATACCCCTCAATTTCCCTTTAACAAAATGGGTGGGGTAGTAAGAGAAATAATTATAAATTGGATATGTCCCCTATTACCCACTGAGACATATTCTTACCCATTTATAGAAATATAGAGAGGCTACATCAAATGAGCTCAAGTCTCCACCAAAGACCACATACCAGGGAGCACTCAATACAGAGAAAAAGACACAGCCCTTTAAAGAGATACTAGGACAGAAGGCAAAAGAAAAGAAAGCCACAGAAATGTGTATTCCTTGCAAAGGTTGGACAGCTGTCCTTAACAGGCAGCCAGCAGCATAACCAGCATATCCAGTGCCAGGCAAGAACAGAGGGTCCCTCCTGGAGAGTGTAAATGGGTGTACGTGTATGGCTCTCACACTCACAATACTGCCTCCCTCACCCACAAAAGCACTCTCTTACATCACCCATTGTCTCTTTCACACACATAGCTCCCTTCACACATAAGTCTCTCAGTTTCTCACTTTCTCCCTCATGCCCACAATTCTCTATTTCACACACACATACACACACACACAAAGGCACACACTCACAAATTTCTCTCATACACTCCTTCATATCACTATAGTCACGCAATTCAAATCCTCTCATAGACATAGATACACACACACAAACACACGCACGCACACGCGTGCCTTGGTCCCGCCCCCGCCTTGGCCCCGCCCCGGAGGGCTCCTCCCGGCGGCGGGGCGGGGCGAGTCTGTGACAGGAGGAGCCGGGCTGCTACTGTACTTTGGGCGCCCAGGCCGGCAGACGCGCTTCTCAGTCCCCTGTCATCCGCCAGCGCTGCCGATTAGGGCGACCCTGGGGCGGCGGCCACCGCCTCGTGCGACGCGGCGTGGCCTTCCAGCGGCCGTCCCGGGCGGCGGGAGTTGGCAGCGGGATGTGCTCGGCTGGGGAACTGCTGCGGGGCGGCGGCAGCGGGGATCGCGACGAGGACGGGGACGCTCTGGCGGAGCGGGCGGCGACTGGGACGGAGCGGGAGCCCGGAGCGAGCCCGCGGCGGCGCGGGCTGCAGCCCCCGGAGGAGAGCGAGCAGGTGAGCACCAAGAGGGCCAGCGCGGCCGGGCCCCGAGCTTCACCCGGCGGCGGAGGGAAGTGGCCCGGCAGGCGGGCGGCGCCTGGGCTCTCCCCGCGCGGGGCGCTGGGGGCCGCCGCGTCCTGGGAAGCCGCCGGAGGAGCGGTTGGACGGCGCGCGGGGCGGGGCTGCCGACTCGCGCGTGTGCGGCTGCAAGTGCCGGCCACCCGGCGCGTGTCTGGCGGGGCGGCTCGACCCTCCTGCTGCCTTCAGGCGGACAGTTGTCTGTCCGGCTCCCTGCGGAAATGCCCTCCAGAGCTACCACTTGCCTAAAAGCCCTACCTGTGAACACTCTTCAACTTGGAGTCCGTGCGCCTGAGCCTGGCTTAGGGGACAGCGGCTCCCCTCTTGCCCTCCATCTTGCATCTGAACACACACCTACCGTCTCGGCGAGGTGTGGGTGTATTTCTCGCCATAGGCCGTCAGTGTGTGAAGACGTGTAGGTGCGACTATTACAATAGATGTCTTAACAGGGACTCTCCCAGACAAAGTTCTGTATAAGAGCAGATGGAGATCTAAACTTCATTTAAAAAATAAAAAAGCATCAAAATTGCTTTCACTGGGCACCAGAGAGACCAGACATAAGGGAAAGGAGAATAAGCCTTCTGAGTTTGATCTCATTAAATAGAGTGTGATCAGGGACACACTCTATTTATCAAATACTCTATTTATCTAATATCAAATACCTTAGATGAGAAGTTTAATTTAAGAAACTGAATTACCTGTCGGAAGAATTTTCATGGGCAAATGCATTAATTAGATCTTAAGAAATATTTGAGATAAGCTGGTCTTCAGAATCACATTGAGAGGCAGGAATTCAATTGATTATTGACCTTTCCTATATCCTGTACTGTTGGGTCAATTAATACCTGTCGCTTCTCATCCTTTTCCATCCGTCCTTTTTGTTACATTTCACAAACTCCAATACCATCACTAGATACATTAATAGGTATGTTACTTAGGAAAGAAATTGTATGTGGCACACAAAATAAGCCTTAGTAGGTTTGATCATCATGTGGATTGTAATTGTTCATGTGTGTGACAATATAGGAGATGGTGACTGAAGCAAATAATTGGTCGCTAGGAGATCTTCCTGATTCCCTCCCTTCCTGGTAGTTTTCCCGTTAACTGTAACATGCATGACTCAGTAGATAAAGGTCTTGGTTTCCTCTTACCTTAGTTGCTCAACCGGAAAGGTAAAGAAAACAGCTACAAGAACTTCCTTGGGAGCAGGGGTTCATTTGAGGAAGGTTTCCGAAGTACATTTTCAAATGACTTTTAAGTAATTATATAAAATAATTTACTTAAGCTTCTATGGACTTCATCAGTATAATGATGTGGACATCATCACTAACTCTGATTTTACCAATATTATTTATGGTTAAAAGAAAAAGGATACAACTAACAACAACAACAACAACAAAAAGAATGAAACATTTACACTAGAAAACAAATATTCCTTTGCATTCCTGCTTCCTTCATTGCATGTCATGAAATTGTTATTCTTATCATTTTTATCCCATGATTTATGTACCCTGAGCCTATATACAGAATAATTGAAAATATGCTTACTACATCAGCACCAAAGAAGAACTTTTTACTAATAAGCCAAAAACAAGCACCAAAAAAAAAAAAAGTGCAACCCAACCCATTGGTGTAAGAAGTAAGCTTTTGAGCTTTTTTGATAAATTATCACGAAGCCTTGTTTCCTAGCTTTTTTCACATCCTACAAATGAAATTTAAAAATTTTATACACTGCCATGTAATGATGGAGATGATTTTACACACATTAAGATATTTGAGGAGAATTAAATGAAGTTCACAACTATAACACATCCCAAAAAGAAATTTTAGTTTTTCTTATTCATTTTATTTGTTTTGTTGACGTTTTAAAGACACAAGGATTCCAAATTATAAACATAATACTTTGAAAAGTTGGTTCCCAAGCTAATGATTTAGAACTTACACTGAACTTTTCCATAAAAGCAATGATATAAACAGAAACAGAACCAAAACTAATTAGCTGGAAATGAAGCAGAGGTCATCTTCCTGCTTGTTCTTTCTGCTTAGCATGCTCATGCTCACTTGGCGTTCCAGAGTCTTAGTATCCTTATGGATATTAAGAGGAAATTGAGCCTTCAGAGGCTCCTTATCTTGATCAATGCCTTGAAGGTGTGATCTTGAAGTCAGAAGCCCCAAAGGCACCTGACTTGTGCTCCTTCAGTCTTTGTCAGCACCTAATTTTCTGTGTTAAATCCCTTTCTGTTTCTGTTTCCTTCACAGAGTTTCCTCTCCTGATAATTTGATGAAGCAGGTTTCTTCCTTGGGCTTATTTCCCAGGCTAAAGACTCCTTTGCGTACATCCTTTTTCCTTCACTGATTTTCTTTCCATTCCTTTTTGAAAGACTCATTCCCCTCCCTCAACTGGGAAGTCTTGCATATACTTTGACTATACAAAACCTACCTTTGGCTCATTGTTATTATAATACCAGTTCAAAAGTTATTGTATTTCAGAACTTATTTCATGTAATACTGAAATACTGGCATTTATATCCGTGATTTATTAATTACTAATAGATTGTCAGCCTTTTATAAATTGTCTTTAGCTGCTACTCTGTTTGAGAAAAAGCTAAGTAAGTTTTTCAGTTCTTCTGACCTGAATCTTAGAGGTAGGATGATTGACAAAGGAGATGTAGTGAAAATCAAGTATCCTAAGAAAGGAGGCTTTGAAGAAGGCTGTGAAGAAGAAACCTGTGTTAGGTTTAAAGTAGAGGTCAGACCTCTAAGAGAGAAGAAGGAGCAATTTCAGGAGATGTTAAGGAGACAGGACATATTCTGTAGGTGTGTTGATAATCATGTGCATGAGAGATAATCCAAGTATGTTCATGACAGTCAATGCCAGGGTGACTTTAGGCAAGAGACTCTGTGCCCTTCTGCATAGCTGGAATGTAAACACTACTGAGATTTTTATTATGTCTATAGCATCTGCTTAGATGTGGCACACAGTACAGTTCAAAACCTGAATAACCTAAGATGTCCACACTGACATAGAATATGGAACATCTCATTATTCCTAGATTAACTTTAGAATCATTAACTCTATTTTAGGGACTTTATGATTATAAAAGTAATTGTACTTTGAAAAATCAAAAACAGAAGTATCTAAAGGAAAAAAGTATTTAAAATCCTATTCTGGGTAATATTTTGATATCAGATATTTAGTATTGCTATATCTGTGTTTGTATTTGCACATGTTTTAATATAAGCACAATTTTATATCTTCTTTAATGAAGATGAATGCTACATGTTACAAAAATTATGTAAAAACTATTTTTAGGATTGCCTGATAGTATGTTCTCTTAAGCAGTGTACACTTCATATTATTTCTTTTATAAATAATTGTTTTGTGTATAAATAAAATATATAAAAATATTTACTTTTAAATCCTCACACCTCTACCTTGAAACAGATTCCTAGAAGAAAGAACTAAGTAAATAAAACACATTGAAGCCCCTTGAAACATCCTAAAGAATAGCATTTAAGAGTGTATAAGCTAATGTGCATTTCCAGCACTGATGCTTGAGAGTGCCCTATTAGTAAGCAAAAATTCTTATTGTTGTAAGACATTACTAGAGAGATTTGCTAAAACATGGCATATGTTTATTATGCATTTGTATTTCTTTTTAATCATGTTCTTTGACCATTTTTTCTTTTGCCATTATTACAAGGATATTAATATCTTACTTCACATTGATTATAAATATCTACATTGCTTGATATTTACTTTGTAATTTTATTGTGATTTTTTTAAATTTAGAAATGTTTCAAAAGAAGAAATGCTTTAAATTTTTGTTAGTCAAAGGTATTTCTTTTTTGGTAATTTCACACATACACACGTACATATTATACATATGTACACCAAGTATTTTTGTTTAGAAATTCTAATACTATAATGAGTTAAATAGCCACCTATATTTTCTTTTATATGTGTACACTTGTGGGGTTTTTTGCTCTCTATATTTAATCTCTTTAGAATTATTTATGTATTGTATAAGGTATGGAGCTAATTTTTTCTATCATTGAAAAATCCACATTTTCCCTTGCTTTATTATTCTTTATAATAATAATATGTGTGTGTATATATTTATATTTATAGTCATATACAGTAATATAGCTATTGACACACATATATACATGTATACATTTTATGTATACCTACAGACTAAAGCCTATATAAGCTTTTTTTAAATTTTTATTGTTATTATGACAAGGATTTATTTTCCACATGTTTATGTTTTCTTGCTGCAATGTATAGCTATTGGCATTTATGTATTTATTTTTTAACTTGCTACCTTTCTGAATTCTTTTATTAATTTTAACATTAATAAATACTAATAACTTTTAGACTTGATTCTTTTGCATCTTCTAGTTATATAAACATCTTGTCTATATGTAAGGATGTCTTTGCTTCCTTTCAAATGATACTGTCTTCATTTCTACTACTTGCCTTTTGCTATGCCTGGAATTTTCCAAAGACCAATGCTGTTTCATAGATATCTAAGTAAATTAATGAAGAAACCTCTATAACAGCATTGAACAAAGTTTTCAATTAGATGACCTTTCAAAAAGGGAGAGGCAACCCCGTGTGTCCTTTTTATCTATCATTAGAAATATGACTATACTGATTCTACATCCAGAATATCTAGGTTTATACTTACCAACTTTAGATTAAAGTTAATAGCCTTCTTCATTTTTTTTGTATGCACAAAGTATTAACTGTTGGACCTAATCTTTAAGCAGAACCATAACTGAAAAGAAATCTAACAAAGATTGTCTTTAATATATCCAGCCTCTACAGTTAAAAAGGAACCCTGGGAGAAAGGCAGAATATAACTTACTCCTCAACTTTAATTTTTATGGCTATCATCTCTTTCTTGTTAAATACAGATTTTGGTGCAGTT